CTCTCTTTGCAAGGGAGGCTGATAATTAGTGCCCTGGCACTGAGTGACCTCCAAAACTGACAGGCAGCAGCAGCAAACCAACGCCTGGAGACTTCCTCATAAAAAATAAACCCTTTTCCTGCTGAATTCAGAACTCCAACTACGAGAGCATCCAGCAGACTGCCCGGAGCATCGCGGAGCAGGCGCACGAGCTGGCCTATGACCCCACGTACATGTCGCCCTTCGCGCAGTTCGCCTGCGACAACGGACTGAACGTGAGAGGTGAGGGCGTCCTCCTCCCACCCTGCCAGCCCCGAGGAACCTTTAGCAGAGGGAAGTTCTGTTGTCTCAAAATGCAGTGGGAGAACAGAACGTTAGGAAGCGTGGTTGGCAGGAGAGCACCAGGCTCGTGTGGGATTTGGAGTAGGAGCCTCCCGTGGGGAAGCAGCTGGAGCCCAGAGAACGCAGTGCACTGGTGGTTTTATTTTTAACCCAGTATGTACATTCCTGCCCCAGGCTCCTGGGGAAACTGTGCTTGATTTGTTCTTGGATTTGGATGTGTGGGTGGTGATGTGTGAGGATGGCTTTTGTTGAATTTTTTTATTTTTTAAAGTCTTCTCTTACAGCTGCATTTCAGCTGAGGTTCTGCCCAATCTTTGGTAGTTTTTGGGTTTGTTTTTTGGTTGAAATTTGTGACTCTTGTACCATTGGTATCCCCATCCTGATCTCTCCATTGGTTCTGCTTCTGGGCTCTAAAAGATACTGACACCTGGCAGAGCTCAGAGCCTGAGCAAACACCTCTCTTTTATTGTTTTTTTTTCTTTTAAATAACTCAATATAATTCTGCTGGTAAAGATGTTCTTATCTCTCTATCAAGAGGGCAGGATTTCCTGCCCCTTTCCTAAGGTAGAGCTTGGGCTCCCTGGTGCTCCAGGCTCAGTCACTGAGAAGTGAAACTGCAGAACTCTGGATTCCCTGGTGTGACTTCCCAATAACAAAATACGTCTCCTGAGCCCTTTCTCCGGGATTCGAGTGTGTTGCTCTGGATGTTGAGGATTGAAAAGTAGCTACTAAAAATGCTAAGTAGCTTTTAGAAACACATGAGGTAATACAGTGCTGGAGAAGATGCTAAAGTGATGTTTGATTTACAGTGGAAATTCCTGAGGAGATCTGACTTCATGGCAGTTTCCTTGTGACAGTACAGTGTCAGGTGTTTTCTGCATTTATTCAGTAGTCTGCTAGAAAACAGGCTCTGTGCTCTGCCAGCTGCCAGTGTTCAAGGTTCTGACCTCCTTTTCTCAGCCTGATCTCACTGGAGCTGAACAGGAGAGTGTTTTTGTGCCGTGTTAGATGTCACTGCTCCCCTCGTTTGGAAAGGAGATGGAGGAAGCAGAGCTGGTGTCTACACTGAACAGGCTTTGAATATTTGATTTTAAAAGAATTTTCCACGGGAAATGACACAGATGATGCGAAGGCGACGAGTTTGATGAAATAAGTGATGTTTTCCTTCACTGCAGGGGGCAAACCAGACGACATCACCGTCCTTCTGTCCATCGTGGCCGAGTACACAGACTGAGGGCCCGCTGGCCCGCTCCCGGAGCCCCGCACGGTTTCCTGCTGGCAGGATTGATCCCTCCTCCCTCCTGCCCTGGGCAGCTGGCCCTGAGCCCGGCGCCCGTCCTGAGACAGCCGAGTCCTTGCTAAGAACCACTCGTAGAACACTGGTCTTGCTCTGCCAGCAAGAGATGAAGAAGCTCAAGGCCTGGAGCGTCTGTCAGAGCTTAGTCATTGTCCGTGCCAGGGGCAGGATCCATCCCACGGCGTTCCCGCACTGGAGATGGGACTTTCCAAGGAGTAGAATTGGTTGATCATCTTTCAGAGTAGATCAATAGGTAACCCCTCTGCACGAGGGCATCTTACTCTTTCCTAGGAACGTTCGCTGTTGTTGAGGGTGTGTTACAGCCCCAGTTCCATAAAGCATAGTCTTGTTCCAGTGGTAGCCGAGGTTTCGTGTTCCTGAGCTCCAGTTTTCAGGAGATTTATAACTGCTGTAAACATTCTGCTCTTGCCATCCATGGTGTCAGCCTTAGGAACCTTTTCTAGTACGAGATTTCAAACAAACCTAGTTCAAGTTATATGGATGCAAATGTGTTTTGTGATTTCAGGTGCTTAACTGTGATCTTAAAAAAAGTTCTGCAGATCATTCGTCCATAATGGGCCTGGTTCTGGATGTTTTGGCTGTGGATAATTATTATTTTTATTAAACAAGACTTCTAGCTCAGTCTCAAACAGCCGAGCTGGCCACAGCTGAGGTCTTTGAGCGTTTGAACCCATCTCCTGGTGGGAAATGCTCCGGTGGGAGGTTGCACAAGGAACAGCTCATCCTCAACTCCCAACGTCCTCACTTTGGGTAGATAATCCTGTCGTTGATGAAGCCTAATTTGTGTTAATAATCGCCATTGCTTGTAGAACAGAATATGCTGCACCACTTTTAAGTCCAGCTCATCCTTTCTGACTCAACAGGCACCTCTTTGCTTCTGCTGCGGCAGCGAGTACGAAAATGAAACTTAATGAATAATCAGCAAAACTTACATTTCAGTAACTAAAGTTTAGGGGTTTCAATGAACCTTAATGATGTTTACAGTTATCTAACAGCCACTTTGCAATATGACATTTCGTTTTCAATGACAGTAGCTCACGTTTGTTTCCCCCCCCCCCTTCCAGCCAGCTTTTCCTTTTCCTTTCCTGAGGCTCATACAAAAGCTGAGAGCTGTAAAGATATATATATTTTTGGTCAGTTTTTCATTAACTTTTTTGCCGGTAGAAAAGTATGTAGAAATAAATTAAAGCCATGTTTTTATATATAAAAAGTCGGGTAATGTTGCTGTTTAGGTGAGTGCAGTTAAACTTGGTCAGTAAGGAATCTTTCCTGCTCTCGAGAGGAGATTTTTACTACCTGGTTTATTGTATTAAAACTGTTTAAGTTTGAGGTTACCTCAACTTGTTTAAAGAATTTTTGTGGACTTGTACTGTATATTTGCGTAACTATGTCAAGCTTTTATTTAAGGTCATTTAACATGTACCATGTACATGTCATTTTACTATATTTCAATGCATCATGCTTGTAACAGGCATTTCATTTATAATAAGTGATTAATTTGGGAGCTCTTCAGTAATTTATCTGCTATTCCTCAATTGGCATAATGTTAGGGATCTACTTTGAATCACCTTGTAATTACTTGTCAAAATGCCTTAACTACCCTAACTTGACCAAAATGGGATTTTGGTGAGGGTATGGGGAGGATTCTGTTAATGAAGAGAAATTAATTAGTTTTGTGACACATGAGCAGTGAGTGGTGGAGAACTTTGCACAACCTGTCAGTCCTTGTTTTGAACTGGCCCAGCTGTGCCTGGCTGGCTGTTCGAGGAATGTATTCACTGAGCACAGGGCTTTGTTCCTCGCCTTGGGGGGGCCTTGCCCTCCCAAATCTGGGTGTCTTCACATTTTGTCCGCCAGTATTTCCCCTCAGCTTCTGGATTAGAGCAGATTTGATCAATTCTTGTGTCCCTTGACCTTCCCTTCAGGAGCCCTTGGGCTGTTGCTCTGACCTGCTCTCAGCACAGTTCCCAGCCCTGGTGTTTCCCCCCCGGCTTTCCAGAACTTTCCCTGGGGACGTGTGCGGGTCAGAGGGATGCACCAGGATCTGGAATTGCCTGTGAGGCCAAGCTGTGCTCCCTGTCTGTACCCACAGAGCCCTTTGCCTCATATCACACCATGAGTTGTTGTTTTTTTGTTTTGTTTTGTTTTTTCTCATAAAGAACAAATTTGGATTTTGATTTACAAATCATGAGTTTTTCCCTCACCAGGCACACCAAAGACCAGTAAAGCTTTTAGCTTTTCCATCTGTTTATAAAGCAATACTGTATTATAAAGAATTGATATTTTTATCACATGCTTGATTGTGTTGGGTTTTTTTTAAGACGTGCACTCTGAACATATCAAACCTGAGTTTTTCCTACGAACTTATCGCTGTCTGCGCACAAGAGATTTTGGGAGAAGGAAACGACAGGGCCCATCCTATCAAAGTAATTCCCAGCAATGCATGAAGCAGTAACACTTGCTAGGGGAAGGTTAGTGGGAATGTTCCCGAGGGGAATGGACAAGAAAGGTGTTCCCTGACTTGGAAGCGAGCAGAGCTTGGAGCTGCTGCAGAGGGTTGTTCTTTCTGGGGAGCTGGTGGGTCGGGAGGAGTTTGTCCCCCAGGAAGCTGGGATTGCTCCAGCAGCATTAGGAGGGGTTGGGGTGAAGCAGGGCTAGGATGTGGTGAGTTGAAAAGCTCTGTGGTTCCTGCTGCTTTCCTGGCTGTCTCTAGGAGAGTTGTGACACACAGGTTCCCTCCAAATGTCCTTCGTTGTGTTTCTCGAGAAGGTCAGGCTGAAAACAAAACCAAAAAGCAGATTTGGGACCAGACAGTTACGAGTGAGTGGAGGAGAAGGGAGAGGAGAAGGTCTGGCAAAGGTGGGAGGATTTAGTGATGGAATCTCCATGTCTTGGGAAGGGACATCCTTTCTCCGGGGGGAACCAGCTGGTGTGTGTGGAATCCACTGTATGCAGTTCCTGACAAAGGTGGCTGAAACCATGAAGCAAATGTGAGTCTGTACCTGAGGATGCTTTTCTGTTGCTGTTAAAATGAGACTATCATCTATGCTTACCTAAGAGGCAATTATGTGAATTTCATGTCTGAGGTATAACTTATGCAGGAATAGTTCTGTAAATACATTTAAATGAATTGTAAAGATATTTAATAAATATAGTATTTATACTAAAATGTGCTTTTTTAAAGTCAAGTTGCCTGCAAACCCTCTGTGTGTTGCCGTGGGGAGGTGGTTGGTGGTGCAGAGGCACAGCCAGTGCTGGGGGGGGGCTGTCACTGTCACCCCCCTGCAGTGCCTCAAATCCACACCTGAGTGACACCCAGCAGTCTGGCAGGAAGATAATGATCCTTTAATTGGCCAAAGACTGGGAATTTTGGTGTTGTGTGACTTTGGAAATACTGCACTGCCCCTGACTTGTGGAAGAGACGCGGGGAGGGAAAAGAATAACTCAAGTCTGAAACACAAACCTTTATTTCTTAAACTGTGGTTCTGTGACAACTTGGGTTGTTCAGTTAAATGCTGGTTCTACAGAGTTTCTGTAAAATCCTGAGTTATCCTGGAGCTGGGCTGGGTCTGGCTGTGCCAGAGGGGATGGATGGGATATTTTTCCAGCACCCTTAACTAGAATAGCAGCTTCATTTGCCTGAAGTGGTAACAGGGTTTGAATTCAAACTGTGGGACGCTCTCAGTCTCCACTGAGAGTGTTCTGAGAGCAGAACCCCCAGACTGTTCCTGCAGAACTCGTAACACACAAACCTCAGATGAGTCAGTCGTGACCTAAATCTGGGACAGTCCAAGAGCAGCAGCAGTTCTGGAACAGTCTGTGCTGCTGTGTCACAGCAGCAGGCACCGACTGTGGGCCTGCCCTGCCCTTCCCTCCCAGGCAGTGCCCAAGCCTGTCCTTGGGCCCGAAGCCCTCGTGCCCTACAGCACCGGGGAGCTCTGCAAGGGGCCCAGGTCCTCCTCGGTGTCACTGGCTGTCGCCAAGCTCTGGAAGGTGTGACCCGTGGCATCCTTCTCCTTGTAGGAAACAGCTCCAAAAAACAAGGAGTGGAACTGGAAAATGCAGTATTTACACAGGTAAGAAGCCCCGTGATACAGAATTCAAGTATTAATTATTTGTGAAGCTTTTGCCACTTTCAGTCTGCAGCGTTTCCCAGAGAGACCCACCTGCCCCCGGGAGCGTTCCCCGTGTTAAACATGACACTGCTGGGTTCTGCTGATCCCACGGGAAAGCAGATGCAGAACGGAACGTGGTGTGACACACCCTGTGCACGGGGTGCTCAGCTCAACCCCAGCTGTGCTTCCCCTGCTCAGGGGATGGGGAGTCCCCTCACCTTCTGATAAGGAGCCTCCGTGGCCTCTCCTGCTGCCTCGGCCGTGGCTGTTCCTGCTCTTCCTGTCACATCCCTCCCCGTGACTCTGGGAATGCTTTTTACCTCTTGTTTAGCCACGGGATTGGTGGGAGCATTCCCATCCCGCTGGGGATGTTTGGAAATGTCTGTGCTGTTGGGCTCATCCCCAGAGGGTTTATCAGGATGTGTCTCTGAGCTGCATTGGGCAGAGTAGGGCGGGTTAGTAACTGGCTTTGTGCATTTTCCTCAGAACATGGTGATTTTCTGTTCATGGAAAGATTATGGCTTTAGAGCAGATTCTCAGCAAATATCTTCCCACCCCTCCTGCTGCACCCAAACCCTGCGGAGATGAGGAAAGCAGAGTTACTATGGAATGCTCCCTCTGGCACCCCTTTATTGCTGTGTGTGCTGCTGAGATGTTCCTAAACCCACCTGGTTCAGTTTCCCTGTGAAAACTTGAGGGTTTCATCCCCTTACCTGCCCCACTGCTGTGGGCAGCAGCGCTCCTGGGAATCTGCCTCCTTCTGAGCCTCACACAGGGTGGCCAGGATCAAGCTGGCCTCCAGCAGCACGTCCTCAATGCTGAAAGCAATGGGCCTAAACACAAACATGGAGACTGCACAGCACATGGAATTACAGACACTGTGGGAGGAGACACAGCTCCTGTGGTTCTACATAAGGATTAAAAAATGCCTCCTCTGGAAAGCTGGAAATCTCCTGTGTTTGCTGCTGAGGAAGGAGAGGTGTCCTCTCATTACAGGTTTAATGCCCCAGGGAGCAAATGCTACACAGTGTTATAGCCCAGTGAGAGTTCTGAATGTGTAATTGTTAAAATTATACTTATTCAGAAAATGTTTCTTTAACTGCTAAATAACTCATTGCAGGCATTCAACTGAGGGCCTCCAGTGTCCAGGGAACTTACACACAGCAGCAAGGCTGCCTTGGCAGTGCCTGGGTGAAATGCTCTCTGTGGAATTACAAACTCCTTACTCCGGGATCACAGGTCAGAAATGGCTTTTGGAATGGGATCAAAACGTGCTCCATTGCTGCAGGTCGATATTCCCTGAGGGACTGCAGACACAACCCTCCTGTAACTGCAGGGCTCCCACCCGGGTGTGTCCCAACACCTACTTCCCACATCTGTCAAAGTGGATGGACACGGGAACACCGGTGGCTTCGGAAAACGCCAGCAGGCCCTGGAAAAGAAGGAGTGGGGGGTTAAGTGCTGGTTTAAACCCACAAGATTAATATCAGTATGTAAGTTTATCCCAGCTCTTGGTTACTGGCAAAAAGAGGGTAAAATTCCGCTGCTTCCAGAATAATTTCTTGCCTTCCCTGCCAGAGCTTTGCCAGAGGAGGCTCTGCATGGAGAACTCTCCAGGGCAGCTGTGTCTGCCCAGCACAGAAACCACAGTTTGGGTTTAGAAAAGCTTTGTTTGCCTTCCAAAGGCTGCTCTGAGGGGCTCTGCAGAGCCCTGAGGATCCTGGGTTTTAAAGCTAATCCTTGACCAGCTGGTGAAATCCTGCTGCTGTCAGGAGGGCTGGTGGGACACACATTCCATGGGACCATCTGCAGTGTCCTGGTCCAGTCAGGCAAAGTAATGGGAAATGGTTTATTTTCCAGACAAAGTCTTACTTTACCCTCAACTCTTTAAGGCAAAATGTCACTTCAGAATCTACTCCAACTTGAAAGTAGTCAAATTCCTCTGGACTGAGGTGAATCTCAGTAACCATCGTCCTGGAAAAGTCTGTTTGGGATAACAACAAAATCAAGGACTCACAGGAGTGAAGTTTGAACTCAACAAAACTATGCTTATGGCCCCAAGGTTTTTACATCAGCATCGTTTGAATAATTGTGGTTTTATAGTGATCAACAGTAATAAATGTTTAGCTTATCTAAATTTATTTCATAATTAAGTAAAACGAAATCCTCCATTTATTTACAGTACTTTGTGTAGATTTAAATGGATTTTAACAGAACCCATTCCATGTCCTGATGTGTGATCTAACCCTGTACCTGCTGCTGTTCTTGTCTATCTGCTCCATCCACAGGCATCCCTCACAAATAATATTCCCAGCTGCCTATTGTTGCAGGGTTGGGAAGCCCAAAATGCTGCCTGACTTAAACTGATTAATCAAACTCGCTGACAATCATCAGAGCACAGAGGGGTGGACTGAGGCTCTTTGTTTTAAATTCCCATCTTTTCCTGGCACGTGAGTGGCAACAGGAAATTGGCTCTTCAGTTCCAGGTATTCAGTTGTTCATTACCAGCTGATTAGGCCGGGGCTGTTAATTGGTGTGTGAAGAGAACATGAGAGGTGCTTTCCTGATGTGGAACAGTCTGAGACACTCAGAAAAATTCCAGAGCAGCTCGAGCAGCACAAACACCCCCAGGGAAGGCAAGGCTGCTAAGGGAGTGTTACAGACTTCCCAGACTATTCCTAGGTCATTGTCCTCAGCTTTGGTCATAACAAGTATGAAAAGCACCCCTTTATTATATGATATCCAAGAACCTCTACTTCAAAAACATGATTATATCTTTAAAATTAGTTTGAGTCACACTCCAGGAATCTGCAGATTTGTTCTCCACCTCCTGGAGATGTGACCATGGCAGTGACAGTGTGAGCCCAGCTGACACCCTGTACTGTCCTCAGCCTAAAATACACCCTCTAATGATATCAATTCTCTAATTGTGGTGTTCAGATTTAAACAGTTCTTTTTAAAACCCCAAATCAGCCCCTGTTCCCTGGCAGTTGCCATGCTCCTGCTCTTGCAGCACAGTAATTACCTCTTTCAAGCCTACAGCAAGTGGCATAATTTATTTCAATTGGCTGCTCAGTCTGATATCTGCCACTGACACCCAAAAATGTTATTAAAAACTTGCTTTCTTAAAATATATTAAAACCAGAGGGTGGCAGCATGACTTAAAATCTCTCTATATATGTTCCCTCTCTTAAAAGTGTCATTGAGCCATAAAATGCATTCCCCACTTAGGACAGCTATTATCCCTTGAGTTCACCTGTGCTAAAAGTCCAAGTATTGGTTCATATATTCTGAATTTCCTTACCAGTGTCTTCCTCAGTGTAACTCTTGAAACAAACTTTCACTGGAGTAACTGATAAGGTTATTTCTTCTTGGCTGGTTGGGAAGTGAATCATCACATCAGCCAGCAGCCTGTAAAATGTCACTCAGCATTGAAATAATCTGTCACAAGTGACTGGTTGCATTTGTTACTCCCATCAGAAAGTAAAACTCAGAGAATGGTTTTGTATTTGTTACCTGGAGTGGACTTTAAGGATGTTTGGACACATGTGCTTTGCAAAAACAGCCTGCAAGGGATCACATTCCTGAAATGTCAGGTTATATGTTTTTACAACACCTAAATATAGAGGAAATGAACACAAATCAATGCTGGTCTGTAATCTTAATTTTTTTTTAAGTATTAATTGTTCAATAGAGAAAGTAACCAAGGGACTTACTCAGCTATGTGGAAATAAATAGAAAATGGAATTCACCTGCCATCCAAGTTGTGCCCATCCAGCATCCGAGTTTTTTAAGACTCCACAAGAAATAAATGAACAGCAAAAAGTGCAACAAATGCAGAGGAAAAAAGGCCTCAATATTTAACTGGTAAAATAATACAAATGGGAGTGAAGTACAAAAGGCAAACCCTACAGACCTCTGTGTGTTTGTGGGTAAGCCTGAGCTAGAGAGAGCCGAGTTGTCTGGGGACCTAATTCAATATATTACCCCATTATCAGTAATACAAGATAGATTTTTAATAATATAAAGCACTGCCTGTGACACAGCACAGCTCTGTGTTGGTAGATGGTGCTTCTTTTTGAGTTTTGCAAAGGCTGATGCTGATGAACATTCCAAGTCCTGCTCCTGTGCTGAAGAACTGCCTTAGAAGTGGAGAGACCCAGTAAATCCTGCAGTTCAAACAGCTGCCAGACCAGGATTTCTCTCCCTTCCCATAATGTGCTTTTTTTCCCTCAGAATTTAATGCAGACTGATTCAAAATGTTGTCAGCTGAAGAACTGATAAAGCCTGTTATAACTTCACTTTAAAAGTTGTATATGATAAATATTAACATGACAAACATAAATTATGACGTGAAGAGGCTGGAAGTGTTTGGCAAAAGGTTCAGTTAATAACTACATTAAATATTGTGCTGCCCCTTGGTTTTAAACTGCTCCTGTCCCTGTGAAGCCTCTCCCTGTGTCACCCACCGTGTTTGCAGAGGAGCTGAAAGGTGATGTGATGATCACTGGGGCTGGTAGAGATGCTGCACTTCTCTACATTCCTTCCCAGCACGTTGGCACATCTAAATACAGGGAGAACTGCCTGGGAAAAATAAAAATAAAATCAATCAGTGCAGAGGTTACTCACCAAGGAACTTTGCAGTATCATTTCCCTATTTTTGTAGGGTTTATCTGGAGCTCCTGCTCCTCCCCCCCGAATTCCACCTGGAAATGGGGTTAATTTGCTGCTTCCCATTGAGATGTACCTTAACTATCAGTTTACACGGGAGGGATAACTCCTTCTCCTTGTGACAGGGATCAGACACAGCTGTCCAGCAGTAATGTTGGAAAAACATGGATGAGAAGAAGACATAGGCATATGCTGACCTCGAGGAATTCACTGATCTTAAGGCAAGCTGGAAATGGAATCACAGAATCATTAAAGTTGGAAAAGACCTCCAAGATCATCAAATCCAACCTTTGGTGAGGTAGAAGTAAAATAATGTATTAACTCAAAACTATTTAATATTGAACCTTAAAAAAAGCCTCCTCTGGGCTTTAGAACCACCAGAAAACCCTGAGATGTACATCTCAAAATAAATACAGATTTATTAGGAACGCAATTACGTTCAAACTTCCCACCTTCATTATTACCAGCCAGCAGTCAGTGGTATAATACAGGGATGGGATTCCAATCTGTGGCTGTTTAAGTGGCCCTGAAGGGTGAGTTACCCAAACACCCAGAGCTCAGCTTGTGTTTGAGGCATTTGAAGGAGCTGAGTTTATTCTAAAACAATCTTCCTGTACATGATCCATACAAATGAGCAAAGATACTTCTCACACCTCAGGAATTCTTGATATGATATGGAATGTGATACACCCATTCAATACCACAGGTATAAAATGGAATTATCTCCACTTGTGATTTTCCAGTGAGTTAAAGGAGAGTTGGTCACTTTTAACTAAGAAACCTCTAGAGAAAACCCTAATTCTGCTGGAAATTGTGTTTGGTTAATCAAAGGCACTAATGGATGTGTTCTTCCTGTTGAGTCACAACAGTACAAAACATGTTGTTTAGAGGCAGCTTCTGTGTGGTAAAAAACACAAACCTTTTGACCTGTGACAGTACAAATGAACCCCTTGGCAATAATCTGGATGTCCTGGACAAGCCTCAGCTTGGGTCACAAAAAATCAAAGGATATTAGGGCAGAGTAGGAAGGAATATTCCATGCTGGAATCTGCATAATTACAATTACAGAAAATATGGCTTTTGTCCATATTGAAAGTGGAGGAAGTTGGGATAGAGTGTAACTCAGGCTGAAGGGCCCCTCTAGGAAAACAACACAATGTCCAGCAACATAAATGTTGGGCTTCCAAAGATTTTAAATTAGAATAAATCAAATTCACTTACACCTTTTTCTACGGGGTCAAACCAAAATTCATCACTAATACGTGCTATGGCATGGATTGCTCTTCCAAACACTGCCAGGGAAAGAAAACAGTGCAATAGGCATCCTAAATTAAAATAAAAAGGTTGTACCGCATTTTCTCCAGAATAATTTATGAGGCAACGTTACAGGTTTCCTACACATTTGAAAGAAAACTGATAGTGGAAAATGTTACTTTTTTTTCTTTTTTCATTGGCACAAACCCCTCGATGTTTTGGAAGCTGCCTCTGATGAGGCACCTCAGTGTCATCTGTCCCTTTGCAGCCCCTGGGGCCTGATGTCACCCCAAATTCATTCAATCAGACCAAACACCACCTAGAAACTGTATTTTGCAGATGGAAAGTTTGGGAAGCTGTGAGCAGTGGGATATCTGCAGAGATGGAACCCTGAGAAACAGGGCAGAACCCAGCAGAGGGTCCTGGAATTTGCCTCTGGCAGGGGCAGAGCAGCCTTTTCCACAGAACGCTGCACCCGGGAGTCCGGGTGTGCCTCTGGAAGTGCACAGGGAGACACCAAGGAGTGGACTGTGCCTCTGGAAGTGCACAGGGAGACACCAAGGAGTGGATGGTGCCTCTGGAAGTGCACAGGGAGACACCAAGGAGTGGATGGTGCCTCTGGAAGTGCACAGGGAGAGACACCAAGGAGTGGATGGTGCCTCTGGAAGTGCACAGGGAGAGACACCAAGGAGTGGATGGTGCCTCTGGAAGTGCACAGGGAGACACCAAGGAGTGGATGGTGCCTCTGGAAGTGCACAGGGAGACACCAAGGAGTGGACTGTGCCTCTGGAAGTGCACAGGGAGACACCAAGGAGTGGATGGTGCCTCTGGAAGTGCACAGGGAGACACCAAGGAGTGGATGGTGCCTCTGGAAGTGCACAGGGAGACACCAAGGAGTGGATTATGTCTCTGGAAGCGCACAGGGAGATATCCAGGAGGGGACTGCGCCGCTGGAAGTGCACAGGGAGACACTCGGCCAAGCCATGGCGTCTCCACCTGGGAGTCCCCAAATCCAGCGCTATGCTCCCTAATCTGAACAATTCCCAGAGGCCGCACATTCCCCACGATCTCCCGTGTCCTGCGGGATGAGGAGGATCCCCCGTCAGCTCCAGGGCTCGTGTCCCGCTCCGCATCGGCGCCCTCGGGGCCGCCCCTGAGGGCAGCGCCCGGTCCCGCTCGCGGCCCCGCCCTGGGCTCCCTGTTTCCCGCACAAATCCCGAGGGATTCGCGTGTGCCGGGCTCCCCGCACCCCGGTACCTCGGAGCTGCGCCCCCCCAATCACGCACTTCATGGCCGCCCCGCCTCCCCTCACGGCCCGGGGCGGGAAACGCCGCTGGGGCGGGGCCAGCGGGCAGGGCCCCGGATGTGGGGCTGGGAATGAGGGAATTATGGAATGTCCTGAGCGAGAAGAGACAACAAGGATCATCGATCCAACCCCTGGCCCTGCTCAGGACACCCCAACAATCCCACCCTGTCCCTGAGAGCGTTGTCCAAAAGCTCCTTGAGCTCTGGCAGCCTTGGGGCTGTGACCATTCCCTGGGGAGCCTGTTCAGTGCCCGACACCCTCTGGAGGAAGAACCTTTTCCTGAGATCCAACCTAAACCTCCCCTGACACAGCTCCAGCCCTTCCCTGGGTCCTGTCCCTGGTCAGAAGAGATGGGTTCTGCCCCCTCGAGGAAGCTGTGGATTGGGATGAGGTCTCCCCTCAGCCTCCTGCAGCTGAACAAACCCCGTGCCCTCAGCCCCTCCTCACACAGCTTCCCCTCAGACCCTTCCCCATCCTCGTGGCCGCCTTTAAACGCTCACTAACACCTTCGATGACTTTTTTATATTGTGGTGTCTAAAACTGACCCCAGAACTCAAGAGGAGGCCACACCAGCATTGCAAAATATGGAATATGTAGAATTTTTCTTAAGTAAGGATGTTCTTCGATGTTTGATCTTTGTAACTTTCAAGCCTAGTTGACAAGCAGGGAGATTTAATCGGTGAAACAGCACCCAGCAATCTCTAGGTGATGTCCAGGCGTTAGGAAGATAAATGACTTGTGGGGAGAATTGCCTTGTTGAGGTCTAGGGCTGGACATGTTCCAGTGATCTCAGACCTGGGCAAGGTTAACAAAGCGAGGGCAGAAGGATGAACCACTTTGTACCACTGAGAGCGGGCATAAGGAATGCAGGATTTATGGACCACAACGACCTCGGGCAGAACCTCCTAGATAAGGAAGAAATTAATAAACCCAACTCAGCAACTGGGCTGAAACCAGGTCCAACTGGGTAAAAGGTGATTCTGGCAGGGGGATCTGTGACCACCGACTCAAGAAACCCCCAGACCCAGGAGAAGGACTGAGCATGGCACTAATTAGCATGAGAAGCGAGAGGATCATTAATCAATAGGAGATATAATAATCAATAAGAGAACTATGCAATTTGTAGCCAACGAACAGGGATTTTCGCGGAGAATGCTCTTTCCACGTGTGTGAAGCAGCTCAGTGGGAGCGGGACGCGACACGCCCGCGTTGGGCGCTGTGTTGGCCGCTCGCAGCCGCCGTAGCGGGGGCGGTGCCGGGCGGGTTCCGGGAGGGCCGGAGCGGAGCGGCCGCGATGGTGAGAGCGGGGGGACACCGGGATCCCAAACCCCGGGAACCCCCGGCATTCCCCCCGGGAATTCCTCCTCGGCACCCCCCCGGGCCCCGCGATCACCTCCTCCCGCGGGGCTGGCGCAGGGCGGGCGGGCGGGGGGTCCCGGGCCGTCCTTGCAGGAGCCCCGTTTATATCCGTATTAATTTAACCGTAATCGCATTAATTAATTTATTTTTTTTATTTTAATTTAACGCTTCTCTCATAACATCAACGATTCATTAATTATTATTTGCGCGTTCATTTGGCTGTGTTTTCTCTTCTGTTGCTTCCTCTCGTTTAACATTGATCATATTTTCCACCCCCCTTGTCTGCAATCAACTCCTCCATCCCACTCAGGCCGGGCACAGAGTAAGTTACTCCTTGGCTTTGCTAATACCGGTATTAGGGGCTCCTTCGTGGCAGTGGCAGGTGAATTAGGGGCTGCTGCTCAACCCATACCCAAATTCCTGGTAAAACCCAGGGGGTTTGACATCTTCTGCCTCTGTTTTATGCTGCAGATCCCTGGGATGATTAAACATTTTGGGTTGGTTACTGTAGCTGTTCTTTAATTATGGGAGCTCCAGTGTGATTTCTGGGGGAGAATATGGGGCCTGACAGTTCAGGGCTGTGTGTTTCAAGCAGCAGGATAATTTTATTAATCATCAAATAACTGGTATTGCACAACTAAGTCCCTCAGGCATCAGTAAAACAATCTTATCTATTGCCACTTATTAATCAAATAATTTTGATTAATAATATTAAAATCGCAGTTACCCACTTTTAACTTGCATCCCAGTACCCTTCCCAGGACCCTGCTTGGGGGATTTTTCAATGGGAATTCTCAAAAGACCATCAAAAATGTGTCTCTTTTTTGAATTTTTCCTCTCCTGGTTTAGTTTTGAATTGGCCACTCATTGATTAAAAAACTCTGGTGTTGCTTTATCAATACTTCAGCCCATCTGTCTCCAAAATGGCTTTGCTGGCACTGAGATGTTCTTAATCTGAAAAAAAACCCCACCCCCAAAACCAAGCAAAAAAGGCACCCAAGTTCCTTCTGCCTTTCGTGATGACTGTTAGCAAGAAAGTAGCTGCATGGCCTCAAAATAGATAAAAAATATTTAAAAATACCATTTCTTAGCCTAGCTATATTTATTTTTATATATAAATATATCTGGGCTGTGTCCTTTACAAATTGATGGTTGTTATTTTAGGAACTGCCTCTCTAACAAACATTTTTAATGTAGAGCTGTTTATCAAGTTAACACTGGATCTGGAGACAACCATTCCCATTTTCCCAGTGCCATAACATCCCCTGCTTTCTAGAGCTGATCTTTGCATAATTAATTTATTGCTGAGTTGCATTAATTCTTTATTTGCAGATTTAAAGCCTGTGGTGTTAAACTATGGCTTTGCATCACCTGAATTCTTAATTTTGAAGCCCCCATCCCATTTTTTTTCTTGCAACTGTTGTACTGAAGCTGTGAATATATAGAAATTTATATAAATGGTAACAGAATCCCTCTGTGCAATAACCTGCCTTGGCTCCTCTGCAGTGCCCTGGTTGTAATTTGTGGTTATTTTTTCAGCCTTATTCTGTTCAGTGGTTCCTAAAATATGGGCTCTGAACACTCTTCCTGTCATCTATTAACACATTGCAAATTTGCTGCTTTCTAATATTCTTTTAATACTTTTAATGTTTTTTTATAAGGGAGAAAACAGGAGTCTTTTAAAGTAGAAAAAACTTGAAGAGTTAAGGGAAGTGGCCTCGGTTTAGCCAGGTCTGTGCTAGAGAATAAAAAAGGGAGCTGGTTTGTGGTAGTTCCCAATTTTGTGTGAAGTACCTGAAGTACTAACACATTCCTGTTATTGTGTCTTGCCCAAAATAAAGATGATTCTGTAGCCTTGTTTTTTAGGTAATGGTTTAGTGAGGGCCCTTGTTTTCCCTCAGAGCAATATTCCATCACCATCTCATTCTTATTTTAGTAGCTTTTCCATCAAAATGCAAAGTTGGGAAACTGCAGGAGACGCTGTTTGCTAATGACTGTTGCCTTAATGAGTGTGTGTAATGATCTTTCTCCCCCCTGATGATCCTTGGAAGTTGGTGCTGGTGTTGGGAGATCTCCACATTCCCCACAGATGCAACAGCCTCCCAGCCAAGTTCAAAAAGCTGCTGGTTCCTGGGAAGATCCAACACATCCTGTGCACAGGGAACCTCTGCACCAAGGACACCTATGACTACCTCAAAACCCTGGCTGGGGATGTCCACGTGGTCCGAGGGGACTTTGATGAGGTACTTTGACCTCCCTTGGGAATGACGGGTTTTGTGCATCTTTTAGAGGCAATATTTGGGTTCATCCAACTCAAAGTGGTGATGAAATGAGGTCAGAAACTCTCCCCTTCTCTTCCTTGTTGTCGTTCTTAATTATAAATCTTTGAATGTAGGTATAAATTTTTAGATATGAGTGTGTCCATCTAATGCTTGGTTTTTATTTTCAGAACCTGAATTACCCCGAGCAGAAGGTGGTGACTGTGGGACAGTTCAAGATCGGGCTGATCCACGGCCACCAGGTCATTCCCTGGGGTGACATGGCCAGCTTGGCCCTGCTCCAGAGGCAGTTTGATGTGGACATCCTCATTTCAGGGCACACACACAAATTCGAGGCATTTGAACATGAAAACAAATTCTATATCAACCCTGGATCAGCTACAGGAGCCTACCATGCCTTAGAGAAGTGAGTGTGGGAAAACTCTGGGAGGGTTTTTTGGGAACAAAACTGAGCTACAAACTCATGGTGAGGGTTAATGTTTGTGTTTTAAATGTCAGGGAGAGGAAGGGTTGATACTTGTACTTCCTAAATCTCCTTGAGTGAACAGATGAGAGTAAAATCCAGCCTCAGATCTGATGTTCTGTGCTTTCAGAATTAATATCCATTTTTCTTTAAGTGATTTCTGCTGAGTATTGGTAAAAACACTGCTGATTACAGACACAATTAATATGAATTTTTTCCTCTCTTTCCAGCAACATCATTCCCTCATTTGTGCTGATGGATATCCAGGCTTCCACGGCTGTGACTTATGTATACCAACTAATTGAGGATGATGTGAAAGTAGAAAGAATTGAGTACAAAAAGTCTTAAAAAGGCTTTTGCTTGTCTGGTATTTTTACCATCTCATTCTGAACTGCAAGTTCCAATACTTGATTGCTAGTTTACAGCCCTGCACCTATTGCTAACAGCTCAACAATGTAATGAATTTAACCAACATTGTGTTTGCTTTTCTCTGTATGAATGGATTTGTAAAATATTCCATTAAAATAACTGTCCCAATACTGTTCCTTAATGTTGTAATAAACTCCACTTCATAGAAAAACTGAGCTTTATGCAGTGTTGTTGGGGGAAGATGCAGCAGTTGTGGTTGGCTGGGAAATGCCTGGTTGTGGTTTGGTGTCCAGCTTCCAAGGGATACTTGAGCAAAGGGATTGAGGGCTCTGGGGCCAGGCTGTGTTTGCTTCAGAATCCAGTTTACATTTCCTCAATTTAACATTCTCAATTTAAGTTAAAGGAATAAAATGGCTTGATAGATTCTGAAAGTGTTACAATTGCCTCATAATTTCACTGTAGAAAGTTTGAGTCTTAAATGAATAATCTCATTAAATCTAGAGCCAGGGAAGAGAGGCTTTCCTTTATTTGTGGCTCCCATCTGACACTACCT